CACGAGATAGAGACCAGAGATAAGCATACATAGTCATATGTACAATGTAATATTGTATTTTTATCTCTGTAGACTAAGGTGTTTGAAAATGTCAGTGATGGACTAAACCTTAGCGAGTGTTGTAAACTTATGTATCCTCTCTATGAGAGTAACCCACACACTCAAAATCTTTATAGAACTAAGGTAGCAAACCTTAGTGAGTGTAGAAAATTTTCCAATCCTCTCTGTTAGAGTTATGTGAGTGGACTCTTTTATTTCGTGCTCAAGTCCGGATTGGCCGGATTGGCGGCCCAATAACTCCAATATATAATAGCCATAATTTTATATATACATAAAACGTACTTTAGGGTTACTTTAGAGGTAATTATTTCCTTCTACCAAAAAAGTTTTTTCCGTTAAAAACAACATGTTGCAATAATATATTTCTTTTTCTATTAGTAACAACTAATATATAAATAATGTAATTAATTGTGAAAGTTTTAAAAATAATTTAACTCGATTGGTTGAATGAAATGTTTAGGGTTTAGGGTTTAGGGTTTAGAGTTAAAAATAATTTAACTCCATGTGACTCTCTTTAATTAAACATTATTTTAATATTAACAAAAATTAATCTTTACAATAATTAATAATATCAAGCCGATTCTCGTATCTCAAGATAACTCAACAATCTAAAATAGAAGACTAAATAGTAATAAAAAACAATTTGAAAATATAATTTAGTAAATCCTCAAGGAATTAATTTAATGATAAAATCTTTAATAGGTTAAAGTAATAAAAATTAAAAGATAAATTTGATAATCAAAATTTTAACAGAATTTATGTAATGACACTTATAGCAAATATAAATTTAATAATTTGCTTTTAGGGATGTTTGATAGGAAAAAATTATTTTCACAACCAAAAATCATGATTCATTAAAATCATATATCCTATTCCTATAAATTTTGACTTTTAAGAATCATATTTTTTTTTTGTTTCGTCCCTGGAGTATCCACCGCCGACAGCAGTGATTAATCTCCTCGCTACGTTGGAGGCACCTCAAAGGGTGGGATAGCTGGCCCCAAGATTTAACGCGGCTGCATGGACCAGGAGTGGTCGAGAATACTTGGACCAGGAGTGGTTTTAACCTAGGTGGTTCATAATACTCACTACTAGCCTAAAGAGGCTGAGAAGAAGATACTAGCGTTGATGAGTGAAGTCAACAGGCTAGAGGTGGTCAATAATACTTGTGTACTTCATTTCATATCTAGTGGAACCCTTCAAGTTGAAGGAGACTGGACGTAGCTCAATTGAGCGAACCAGTATAAAAGTGATTGCACTACTCTATCTATATTTCAGACGCAGATTATTCTCAATTGTCAAATTACTATTAATCTTCATCTACTATTTATTCTTCATTAAAACCGTTTTTCAGATGAAGATGCAAACTTTGTTTAACAAACATATTAGACTGAAAAGTTTTATCCTCTACTTGTCTTCAAATGAAACTATCCTGAAAAAGGAAAATGTTAGAACTTCAATAATTATCATTATAAAACATTTTTCTCAGTAGACGATGAATCTTTCAAAACTAATGACATTATGTTAACCAAATTCTGTGTAACCGTCTGACATTCAAAAGTGCATTAGACGAAGAGCATTACTCTTATGAAAACATTTTTAAAATTCCTTCGTACTAACACACACATATTCAACCCCCCCTTCTATGTGGTTTTCCGCTAACTTCACTTCGAGGGTTCCCTTGTTCTTCAGAGCGTAAGAGAGAATGAGGGTTAGAAGAAAATGAGCATAAGTGAATACGTGAAAATAACTTGTAACTCATGATAACTTCCTTAACCTCTTTTTCTTAATTAATAAAATAAATAATAATAATAATAATAATTAATCATTTACCAACACCTCCTTCCTTCCCTTTCTCATAAAATAATTAATATATATATATATATATGATTGAACATATTCCTTTCTTTAATCAAATAACATGAACATAATAATAAAATACACTTTATAAAATAACTCCTACTTCACCAATTAAAATAATAATTATAAATCAAGATTTATAATAAAATAGAGCCCATATATATAATTAAAATAATATTCAAATTCTTTAATAAACACATTTAAAATATTAAAAGAATTATATAACATAATATTAATATATTTTTATGAAAATCGGGGTGTTACACTTTGTATGGTTCTAGGCAATATATGATCATGAAAATGGATTGTTCTACTTATAGGTTCTTCTTTTAATTAAAATTGTTTTTAAAACCCCATGAAACCCTAACATGTAACAACAAAATAACTCATGATCAATATCACTTCTTCATCTCCCTCCAAACCCTAAAACTAAAGAACATGAATCTTAACAATCTCAAATTTATATTTTCGATAGATATATCTGTCGATAATTTCCGACAGATATATCCGTCGGTAATTTCTAACAGATATAAATCTGTCAAAAAGTTTATATTTTTTATGGAAAAAAATTCATAGGAAAAGTTATATTACTGATGGAATATTTTTGACAAATTTATATTTGTCGAAAATGTAAGAATTTTTGACGAAAATTAACAATTATATAATTCATGGTGTATGTTAATTTCAGTGATCCAACTATTAAATTAAAAGTTATTAAGTTTTACTAATAATTAATATAGAAAAAAAATTGATTAGCTTTGGAATAAATTGTTTGCTAACAATATAGTTGAAAAATTAATTATTTTAAATTATTTAACTAGAATCTTATTAAAAATTTACTATATGATCTTGATATTTTTATATAACTAATATCTAGTTTTAAATTTGATATGAAATTATTATGATATAACTAGATAAGATTTTAAATTAGTATTTTATTAATAGTTGATAATTAGAAAATAAAATAAGGATAAGTACATTTTTTGAATTTTATATCTTAGATTTAAGATAAATAAATGTATTAAGTTAATTAATAATTTATTTAAAATGTTAAAATTTAATTTATAAGTATGTAATAAATAAATATTCATAATTTTATAAATTATATTATCATTATTTTATTTTCT